ATTCCCCACCACCCTCTGGGCCCAGCCAGCAGCCAGTTCTTAACCCAGAGAAGGTGCACCTGTCCAAGCCATGGGCTGCCAGCTATTCCAGGAGTATCCCATGGGAGGGACTGCCAAAGGCTTTGCTGAAGTCCAGGTAGACCCATCCACAAGTTCATCCTAAATTCATGCCATTAATGCTTTTATCTCCCTGACACTGTCACCAGGAAATGTATTAGTATTAGTTTTCTGCTGTGAGGTGACCAAATTTTCTTGGGAGTGACAAAGAACTCCAATTTTCTGCCATTTACAGTAACATGAAAAGAGTTTGCAACTGTTCACACAAAACCTCCTCATCCAGAGCCAAATGCAGCTTTCTCAGAGAGGGATGAACATTCAAAGGGTATCTCTGTAGCACAGAGAAGTGATTACAAAACAAAGAATGGCTCAGCTTATCAGATCAGCTTTGCTTGTTTTCCTGAGAGCCACCAACCATCAATCAGGAATCGAGTCACTGCCATTCACATCAGAGTGAAGCAGAGATAATTTGATACATAAAGCTCTGAATTAGACAGAATTTGAAGAGGAGTAAGCAGGTGTTATTTTTTTTATTGACTACTGTATTGCTTTAATAAAAACAATCTAATTTTCAAAGAGCTATTTAACTTTTCCCAGCCAAAAATCACATGAAAAATCACCTCCCAGGCAAAGCCTGTTCTAAACTCACACAGTACATCAGATAAAAACACAGATGAATGCTGGAAATTCACTCCACAAGGCATTCCTTCATGGAATTAAGCACTCAGAACTGTAGATCTCAAAGGTCTGTGAAGAACCTTTACTCCAGCTTCACAAATACAATCCCAACCCCCTCATCTCTTGTAGTTGCTGCTCCAAAGTTCATTGCACTGGCCAGAAAACTCCAGCTTTTCAATCTCTTTTCTCTAATATCAAATATAAAACTCTTGGGTTTGTACCTCAGGGTATTGCTGGTTTGTTCCCACATCATCCCACAGGTTTATGGAAGTTTCACAATATCTGTTCAACTGCTGAGCTGCAGAGACTGTTGCATCTTCTGCTGGCCAGTGCTAGTTCCCTGTTTCCCTTATCCTGCAGAACAGCTCCATCCATCACCCCTGCTCTGGATCCAGGCTGGGAGAGCTGGGGGTGTTCAGCCTGGAGGAGAGAAGGCTCAGGGAGACCTCAGAGCCCCTTCCAGAGCCTAAAGGGGCTCCAAGAGAGCTGGAGAGTGACTGGGGACAAGGGATGGAGGGACAAGACCAGGGGGAATGGCTTCCCACTGCCAGAGGGCAGGGATAGATGGGATACTGGGGAGGAATCCTTCCCTGGGAGGGTGGTGAGGCCCTGGCACAGGTTTCCCAGAGAAGCTGTGGCTGCCCCTGGATCCCTGGAAGTGTCCAAGGCCAGGTTGGACAGGGCTTGGAACAACCTGGGACAGTGGGAGGTGTCCCTGCCCATGGCAGGGGGTTGGAATGAGATGGGCTTTAAGGTCCCTTCCAATCCAAACCATTTTGTGATTCGAAGGAGGGGAGGGACTCAGTATATTCTTGGACACTTAAAACACAGGGTTAGTGCTTCACAAAACAAATGCAGCCTCTGATTCCGAAAAAAAAAAATACAAACTTCTTCCCACCTTGATTTCACTCCCTGGATTACAATTGCCTTGATAATTCATTTGAAAACCAAATCCAGCTTGCAACTGTCTTGAAAATTGAGTAACCTCAGGTTCAACTATATTAAAAAACTTCAGCTTCAGGCAAAACTGATGGAACAGCTCATTCACAGTGATTTCACCAAACCTTGGCCCTCACTGTATGTTTTTCTGATTACACTTACATTGTGTTACCATTTACCAGCAACACTATTGTATTAGAATATATATCAGCACTGGCTGACTCTGACTGCATGTTCTCAGCTTCATCAGCAGCTAAAGACACGCAGCTCAATGCATATTCAGGGCTGTGATGCCATTTCTCAGCTGTTGGAGCAGCTGCAGGAATCAGCAACAAGTTTCACAACTCGAAATAGATGCAACCTTGCAGGATCCTTGGGCTCGGGGCACATCCTGACTCTCATTCCCAGGCTGGTAATAAATCTCCTCTTCATTGTCATTTAATATAGAATTACAGGATCATTTAGGCTGGAAAAGCCTTCAAAGATCGAGTCCAACTGTTCCCCAGCACGGCCAAGGCCACCACTAATCATGTCCCCAAGTGCCACATCCACACTGCTTTTAAATCCCCCCAGGGATGGGGACTCCACCACTGCCCTGGGCAGCCTGTTCCAATGCATGACCACCCTTTCCAGAAAGAAATTGTTCCTGTTATCCAACTTAATCCTTCCCTGGCACAATTGAGGCCGTTCTCTCTCATCCTGTCCCTTGTTTCCTGGGAGCAGAGCCCATTCCCTCCCCTGGCTCCCCCCTCCTGTCAGGAAGTTGCAGAGCCAGAAGGTCTCCCCTGAGCCTCCTTTTCTCCAGGCTGAGCCCCCCCAGCTCCCTCAGCCGTTCCTGGTGCTCCAGCCCCTTCCCCAGCTCCGTTCCCACCCTTCAATGTCTTTCCTGAATGGAGGGGCCCAAAATTGCCCCCCAGGATTTGAGGTCTGGCTTCAGCAGTGCCCAGTACCAAAGTGTTGACTTGGTACCTCGTGGTTAGCAGGACCAACTACAGCTACTGAAGATCAAACCCTCTTGAAACACCTATTCTGGTCCAAACTGGTTTGTTCTGCTCCTTCCAGCCCGTGCTGTTTGCTAAACACAGAGTTGAAAACACTCTCCGTCCTCCAGGGAGAAGCCAGTGCCTCAGGCAGCCAGTCTTGGGGGCAAGAATTCAAGACTGGGGTTGGATGGTTTCTATCCTCAGTAAACAAAATTATTTCCTTTAAATTATCAACTCTCCCTGTCTTTCTGGAAAAAAACAACTCCTCTATATCGTTTTCTGGTTGAAGGCCATTCTTATCTCTCTTCCAGGTCATCAGCTCACAAACACCTCAAGAGCACATGCACAATTATTCAGGGAACAAACAAACAAATGACATTTTGGTTTTATAATTTTGCTGTGCCAAAAAACTCCAGAGCCACCCATACACAGTGCAGTTATTGTACTTGCAGTATTTGTTAGCCCTTTCCCCCTTCGGTGCATGGAAAAATCAAATGTGCCATTCCCACGTGTTTTTATCCATGATTATCTGGCACGTGTCACTGCCAGAAGAGCCTGATATTTATTTTAAATTGCTGCAATAATAAGGGAAGTGGTTGTATTAGATTTACATTAAAATCATGTAATGCAAAACATTTAATATGAAAAGGGATTCCTGAACAAATTGTTTGCTCAGTGTGTTTCCCATGCAACCACTCCACTGCTCCTGCAATACCTCAGTAGATAATATTGTAGATATTGTTGTTAATAATACATAGGAACCACAGATCCCCAAGGAATTTCAGTACATATTTGCTGTATTTCCTCAGTTGGCAACACCGTCCCTTCCTTCCCCACTTCAGTGCAAAAACAAACTCTACATGTGCTCACTTACAGTTGTGCCTAATTATATAAATGTACTAATTATACACACTTTTCAAATGGTGATAGACTTCAAAGTAGGTAAATTTTAAATGGTGCCATTAAGGAAATCTATTTGATGATGGAAATTTCTGTAATATCATCTTGCAATCTCCTACCTTGCAATTTTGCTTTCATGTCAGTATTTATTTAATGACAAATAACAGCAGAGAATAAAAGAGATGGGAAAGCAAATTAAAGCTGTAAGATTTGCAGGGTGATATTGGTCAGCAGATTCTAACAGAAAGGAATAAAAGGAATTTGAAAAAGCAGTGGATCTAAGGGAAATAATGAGAAAAAAAGTTCTGAATTACAAATATGAAGAGTGAACCTTGCGAAACCACTCTGTTAAATCACATAAACATCTGCAAGACTGACTTCTCCCCATGTGTTCAGCTACTCAGGAGAAAATATGTCATTGAACACCTCATTTACAAGCACAGTTCTCACACTGCTAAGAAAGACTTTCAGTTTATTTACTTGCAGTTCAGAGCACCTCTTTGCACACAAAATAATTCCGACTGTACGTAGGAACCAGCCCTCCGAGCTCCTCCAGAGCTCAACCCCCCCAGTCACACACACATTGGGGAAACCCAAACTGCTGCACAGGGTTTCAGCACCTGAACCTCCTCTTTGAACCTTCTGACTGGCATATAAAAAATACAGTTGTTTACTTTTAACATTAAATATTCACCTCGGCTCCTGGTTCTTTAACATAACACAAGTGAAGTCATCATATAATTCAGCATATGAACATTGAGATTCTTTTAGCACTATTTAAGTCCAGTGCTCTGATGACCCAGGCTGAGTGGGTTTTTTTCATATAAATTATAAGCATTTATATTCCATAGAAATGAAAATAATTTCTATTTCATAAAAGTCATAAGAATTTCTATTTCTCTTCTGTAGAAACTGGATCTTGCTTTGAAAAGAGCACGAGGCAGCTCAGACAGCAACCACAATGCAGAGACACTGCAGGACACTAATCCCCCTGCCTTTAGTTAAATAATAGCTCATGTGGCAGGGAAGAGACAGAATCCATCTTCCCTGAAAAACAGGGCTGTACAGAAAGGGAATTGGTTGATCTTCTCTCACACAAATCCTTGTGTCAAAACAAATACTCTTAGTAAGTCACGGGCTGTCACATCCCATCACAGACATTTATGGAATGGCTTCATAGAAGCAACTTATAAGCAGCAGGTGGGTGATCCTGAGTTATGCAGCTCAAATATTGATCAGGACCTTCCCTCAACGTTCAGGAACTCTTGGATCTGAGATTTTGGGTTCACCCTTCTGAACCTACAGGGTTCAGGAGATGCTGGAATAGCTCTAGGATCACAGATTTCTGCTCTGGTGCAGCCACATTAAAAAAATCTCTTCCAGAGATTCAAAATATCTCTGCATAAGGACCTATTTTTCTGAATAGTTATAAAATGACTCACACAAACCAACACATTCATAAAAGTTGGAATTTAAAGCAACTGTGATGCAAGTTCATTATCTGCACGAGGAGCTCCAACAGCAACACAGAAAACGCACAGCACAAGGAGTGATGTTGTGCTCACTGGTGACATCTTTGACCTCTGCTCATATGGGAAGGAATTCCACACCCTTCCCAGTGTTACCTTTTGATATTCTTCCTTAGACCTCAAGGCAGCTTCCATCTGTTCCTGGGAGAACGTGTAGATAGCCGAGCGATACTGAGTGCCAACGTCATTGCCTTGCCTCATCCCTGGAAAGAGAGAAAACACGGAACACCATGAGGATCAGCCTCTCCCCCTCCCTGGGCTGCTGGGAGAAGGTCAAAACACCGGAATTTCATGGAATCTTAGCACGGTTTGGGTTGGAAAGGACCTTAAACCGTCTAGTTCCAATCCTCTGCCATGGGCAGGGACAACTTCCACTAAATTTAGGATGCTCCATGCAGCTGGATTGGCACAGCCTCTTCCAGTAGGTATTTTTAGGAAGCCCAAGTCTTTGGTTAAAGAGTCCCAAAGAGATTCAACATTGATACATCCATTTAAATGACATGCAAATGAAATATGAGCATTTCACATTTATTACATCACACAGCAGTCAAATCCAGATGCAAAACTTTCAGTAATTCAGCTGCACTCCCTGCTATCCATCTGAAAATATTCATTTTGAACCATGCAAATAGTTACCAAAAATGTTGATTTTACCAAAAAATGTTGATTTTACCCAGTGCTTATAATTTCTCTTGTGCTGGAGGAGTACAAATTTTATGGCAGAAAGGTTCAAAATACCTTTGGAGCAAACCAGTTACTCTTGGCACAGGTTGCCCAGAGAAGTTGTGGACTCCCCATCCCTGGAGGGGTTCAAGGCCAGACTGGATGGGTAATTTAGGCACAAAGGTTTTGTGATATTTAAATAATCCCTTTGAAAGGCTGGTTGTATGAAGTTGCCCATGTACAAATTTCCAAAATGTGAGATGGATTCTACCTGTGAAACTATAAAATAATGGGTCAAAGCAGAGAGATGATGATTGCCCCCCTCAGGTGAGCAGCCCACATCGGGTTTGGTGTTATGCAGTTTTTCACACACCTTGTTCCCAATTTTGCACTCAAGAACATGATTTTTTGCTTTGCTGTAATAAAATGTGTTAATTTTGAGTTTTGTCTGGTAGTGTTGATGAACTTGGGTGAGTGAAAAAAAACAAGTGAAACTGGAAATCATCAGAGTTTGGCTTGTGACTGCCATCAGACTACAGAGGCCCCTTTGAAGATTTCCATCAACTCTCAGGACTATGGAGATGAAATGGAAAAGAAAATATATGTCCTGATAGCCCCCAGGCAAAGGGCAGAGGGTAGAGAAAGAGCCTGTGATACTGGGGAAAAAGATACATCAATATATTATTACTCATTAAATCCTGGTAAGTTTTATTCCTCTTTGTCTTTAGAAGGCAACAGAAAAACGATTTAAAGGACAGGACAATAAACAAATGAAAACTGGTTGAAATATTTATGAACAGAGAGATACAGAAATACTTTAAAATATGTATTAGGGCTAAAATTTCTTCTGATGACCAACAGTTACATAAAAGAATCTGAAACCAAAACACGTTACGGGGTTTTCTGATTATTTGTGTGACTTTTTCACTGGTAAATTGTATTATTACACCTAAAAACAGTGACTGTGCTCTTCATCAATACTTAATAGTGTCAACTGCCAGGCAGGGAATGTTTTGCTCATTCCTTTGCAAATGCTTTTCAGGGAGCTCTTGTAAATCCAGTGCTACTGAAGAGTTAGGAACAAAATGAGTCCAGGCCCGGAAAGCCTTAGTTTTGCCAGGATACGTTAATGCTAATTGATGTCTGAGCTTAAGCATTAACATTTTACAAATCTATTTATTGCTTAACAAACTATTTAACAATCAACTAGGGAGCAAATCACAAAAATCTCTCAGAATGGGGGATCACTCCACAGTGGGCTAATTTCTACCATGAGTTGGAGTATGAGTTTAGCACAAGTTCATGTGCTCTGGGAGAGAAGATAAGATTATTTAATATATGCATGTGCCACCAGGACAGAGTAACGGAGAAGTAAGTCAGCTAAATTAATTTATTGAAGAGAAATTTAAGAGAAGAACTGACTCTGGTTTAAAAACACATTTAGAGAGGGGAAAAAAACCCAGAGAAATAAAGATCTTTAGTCTTGTCAAAGTTGCTTAATGAGGTTGGGTAATTGAAAGCCAAAGTGTAAAAAAATGCAGATGGGAAATAAGGCAATATTCAAGCAGTAAAGAGTGTTTCTCCTTTGAGCAATGCACCTAAAGCCACATTCCATTCCTGAGGGCTTTAGATCAAGGATAGACATTTTCATAGAATCAGAGAATCATAAAACAGTTTGGGTTGAAAGGAACCTTAAAGATCATCTCATTCCAACCCCTGCCATGGACAGGGACACCTTCCACTAGCCCAGGTTGCTCGAAGCTCCATTCAACCTGGCCTTGAAGAGGGATGGGGCAGCCACAGCTTCTCTGGGCAACCTGTGCCAGGGCCTCCCCACCCTCACAGACAACAATTCCTGCCCAATATCCCATCTCTCCCTGCCCTCTGGCAGTGGGAAGCCATTCCCTGTGTCCTGTCCCTCCATCCCTTGTCCCAAGTCCCTCTCCAGCTCTCCTGGAGCCCCTTTAGGCTCTGGAAGGGGCTCTCAGGTCTCCCTGGATCCTTCTCTTCTCCAGTTGAACCCCCCCAGCTCTCCCAGCCTGGCTCCAGAGCAGAGGGGCTCCAGCCCTTGGAGCATCTCCGGGGCCTTCTCTGGACTCTCTCCAGCAGCTCCACGTCCTTGTGCTGTTGTTCCCCAGGGCTGGAGGCAGCTCTGCAGGGGGGGTCTCACCTGAGGGGGCACAGGGGCAGAATTCCCCCCTCCCCTGCTGCCCACGCTGTGGGATCAGCCCAGGATACCAAAACTCCCAGAGTTGAACCATGTCAGTGATGAAAGTAGAAAGCTAAGGAGGATTCAGGCTGTGCAATAACAGCCCCTCTCAGAACCAAATGCTGGTTTGGACTGTTAAACCACCCCCATGGAATGAAGAAGACTGAACAGACATTTTATGTATTATCTCAAAGTGCAGCTTTAATGTGATCAAACATCTAAGCTAAAATGTCATTTATTTTCACTTGTTACTTAAATTAATTTGTACCTAAATCTCCCCCAATACATAACTAATACATTATTTAAGCCACAAAGACTTTGGGATGACAAAATAAATTCCTTGTAATAGACATAACCAAGTGCCACTGTTGCTGTTGTTATCTGTAATGTCCCTCACACAGACAAACTGACATCTCAAGGGTACATCACTGACTTTTTAAAACCCTCTGGCAAGTCCTATTTGCTGGGATTCACTAACTCAATGAGTAGCAAACAAGGCAAGAAATTCAATTTACTAAACAACTGTGGTAGGATGATTGAGCTTAACAAACTTAACAATCTTGTCTTTTAAAAAAAACACATTTACTGAATAAAAAGTGACCTGTGCTTGGCTCTCTAAAAATTCCACAAGGTATTTGTGCTTAAGTTCTTAACTGGCAGAAGGAATAATTCCTACAGAACATCAGCTGGATCTTTTAGGAAAATGCTGGTTTCCTTCAACTGTGCTGCAAGAAGTCTCAAAGTCATTCAACCTGCCAAATTAGGGATAGTTTTTAGGGTAGTTCCAGGGGATAAATCTCTTCCTGAAGGACATAATAAATAGGCAAATCTGTCAGTAGGGCCTGATCCTCCTTTTCATTTGAGGCTGAGATCATACACAGGTTCCTAAAGTTGTTAAGCAAATATATTACCCCTGAGGAATCATGGAATGATTTAGGTTGGACCTTTAAGATCATCGAGTCCAACCATTTCCCAGCACTGCCAAGGCCACCACTAACCCATGTCCCCAAATGCCACATCCACATGGCTTTGAAATCCCTCCAGGGATGGAAACTCCACCCCTGCCCTGGGAAAATACCTGTCTCCCTGACCAGGTGATCAGGAACACACCCAACACGGACAGGAACAAACATACCCTGGAGTTGTAGGACTGGCACTTGCTGCTGGTGCCTGAGACAGTGAAAATCAGCGTTTATGCTGGGAACAGCCACAAAATCTGTCATCAAAGAGATGTTTAGACAGAGAGACTGATTTCAGAGCTGATAAAAAAGTAGAGAATTTCCACCTCTCTAGCAAGAGACAAAAATATGTCTGGATGTGGTGCCAAAGTGTATAAGCCCAAATCCTGTGTGAGCACTGGCCAGTTGCTGTAAGCTCTTGTTTCTGGAGGATGAGGAAGGATGAGGGCACCTGGAGCTCTAAGTGTGTTTAGATGTTGGGCAGGGATTATATCCAGGTCTTTCACTTTGGCTGACCAAAGCAACTCAGCCTGGACCACTCTGGAGAACATAAAATGTCCTCACTGTGCCAGCAGAGACCAGAACACCAATTAATCACTAAATGCCCTCAAGAGCTCAGCACTTGTTTTATATGAAACAGAAATTTGTGGCCAGAGGATGGTAGAAAGAAAAGGGAGCTGTGAGGCTCTCCCAGATCCTGCAAAAGGAATGATTCCCAGGTTGAGATTGCCATGGAATATGAACACATTTCCACTGGAAAGCTGTTATTTGCCCAAATGTAGAAAACAGGCAAAGAAATGGCTGTAAAAAGCTCTTTCTTACCAACACTGGTATCTTCTGATGCACCTGGGTAGGGGTGATTTAATTTTGGTCTCCCCAATATTCTCTGGCATCAGAGCAGTAAATACCATCTCTCTTTTGGTTTGGAGGACCAGAATATGGAATGGAATATGGACTCCCTATCCATGGAAGTGTTCAAGGTCAGGTTGGACAGGGCTTGGAGCAACCTGGGATAGAGGAAGGTGTCCCTGCCCAGGTCAGGGGGGTGGAATTGGATGATCTTTAAGGTCCCTTCCAACCCAAATCATTCTGTAATTCTGTGATTAATAAAAAAAACATATTTCCCAGTACATTTTTCTTAAGAAATTGCCAACAAGCAAATCTGGTTCAAAATGGTGAATCTTTTATATATTACCTATAGAAAGCTAAAGCAAAAGACACTTTATTTTATTGGCTAAATCAAGGAATTCTTTTGAAGACTCAATCCTCTAATGGCTTGAAAGTAATACTTAGACACCACTCCTTATCTTCTCTCCATTTAAAAATAATAAAAAAATGTAATGGCATCATCCTTCAACTTTGCTATTCCCAG